CATGGACATACCGCTGTGCTACTGGGGGCCAAATACGGTAAGTATCAAAATTATCTTTATTCATGCGTCTAGATTAAAGTAACATACGTCGTTATCTTTTTTTAATGTTATCCACTTCTTATTGTAAAAACGATCAGCATCTTTATAAAAGATCGAAACATAATTTAGTCTTTATTTGCAAACATGGCTACAGTTTTCGAATGGCTTTCTTCAAAAACTACGTTACGTTTTCCTGAGCACTCAAAACTAATATGTAGCTTAGTTGTTTTAGTTAACGTTTTAAAACTACAAAGGTGTCTTTAGGTTCTTCGCAAACGTATAGACTAATAGCTCTCTTATTTTAAAGATATTTTATTCCTCAATTCATTATTAAAAAAAATTACATAAGATGTTGATCTATTTTTTTTATACTACACACACCCCTAGGTTATATCAGTTTGGAGGAACATCACAAGTCTAGAGCAAAAGATATATATCAAGAGCTGGATTTAATTCATTATATTTGTATTTTGCATTTATGACTAAGCGACTAATGTTATCTACTGCCATCCCTATTTTGGACTACTGCCTAGAGAGAAGGCAGCCCGTCAGCATCACATCATCACCCATCATTCACTCTAAGACATCTCATTCATAACTCACCCACAACTTAATGTGCGAGAAATAGTTTGGGTATCGTACAGATTCGAAACCGGTTTACCAGTTCCAAAATTCAGAACTCTACCATGAGTCTAATCCGAGCTTAGGATGTATTTTATATGAATGACGTTTTATATATTTGTTCTAATCACGAGATGCCTACTATGATGAAACACTTCTGATTATAGACTGTAGAAGAGCTTAGTTCTTCGAGAAATAATCAATAAACCTTAATGATAGTAATGCCTTTAAAAGAGTAATGAGGTACTTATTTGTAGAAGTATTTTTGTCTGTCCATTAAAATTCCTGGAGGATAATAAGGTATACAAAGACGAGACCCCCCCCCCCCCATAAAGACACTATTAGCCATCATGACTTTTTTAAAAGTTAACTCCTAAAGCTAACATCTATTTTAATTTCGTTCTTAGAAAACTTAAGCTAGACTTTCTTTCTCTCTCCTTCATTTTCTTAGTCACCATTTAAAGCTAAAGTTAATTTTGCGTTGTTTGCATACACTAATCTCGTTATTAGTATTTTTATCTTGAACGGCAGCCTATTCGACACAGGGGTTATAAGGGTAAGGTCAGAGGTCTCTAAGGTCTAGACATAACCATTCCCAATTTATAACTACTAACTAGAGAAAAGGCAACGGGTCAACAGTGCTCGCCGCCTATTATGCGTATTAACCGAAAACAGGATTGACTGTGACATTTATAACGCTCCCAGAGTTAAAAAACAGAGCGAAAGTTGCTGTTCAAACAGTGGATATTTCGATTCATACTTTGACTCACTAACAGCTAATTTAAGAGCCAATAAATCCATCGATCTCATATCTCTCTACGGGTCTCAATTAATTTTTAGAAAATGAAGTTAATTTTTACGTTTAGCATTTTTTACTGTTACTAATGTGTACAGTAACTATATGTAATATTGTCTATTGGTCAGTCTCTACCATTACACATCTTAGAGTACTAGCCAATCCTTTAACATTATAACATCTTCCTGGTATGTTTTATAATCAATATATTTATCATAAGAGAAAAACCAAAGAAACACGTAAAATTTTTAGCAAGACACGAGGACCACATTTAATAATAGTTCAGGATCAGTTATCTTGACTTGTAAGTTTTCCGATTTTTAAAAAAGGTCTTGTCATGTTTTCGATTAATGGTTATATAGATGTCGCCTCTGGGCACTTCATAAATTCTGTTTCAGCGAGAAAAAAAATTTTCCTTTTTTGCTTCAGTCACCGAATTTTCTTTTCTAAGTTTCTATAGTTCGATCGATTGTCGACTCTGGTATTCTGTATCGATTACACTGCTGATATAAATCTTTTGCTGTTTCTTATTTTCAACAATATAATTAAAATCTTATTTACGCCATTTTTAGCGACAGTGTGTAACCAAGGCACGCAATATTTTCATAAATAATATCACTTACATAATATTGTGATGTGATACCCTACATTTTGTTATTATGATGTTCACAGAACTATCGCTTACATATATATATATATATGTGTGTGTGTGCTTTAAATTGAAAAACTAATTTGAAATACAATTAATTTCACAGATGTTGATTCACCAAGATTCTTTAGTAGGAAATAAACCATAAACTGTTAATAAGAATGAGAGTTAAAAATAATACTTTGGTTTTATAAAAAAAGTTTATTATTTTTCTGAGACAAAAGATTCGCAAGATTTTAACTTTCATGAAAGTATATGTTCGGAAAATATAATAAAATGTACTTTTTATAATTTGTTTTTTGTAATTCACAAGATTCTGAAGAAGCATCGTTAATCTATTACGTAATACAGCTGATAAATGGGTACATTTTGAAGTGGTCAGAGAAGGATAAGAAATAAAATTTTTTTTAGTGTGCCATGAATAAAATTAATTTTAGGAAGAATTTTATAGAAAATGTTGTTCCTGAATAGAAATCGTCTTATAGTAAGACAGAAAAACACTATATCTTTGGTTAAAAAGTAATAATAGTTATTAAAATCTTGTATATAAAATAGGAACTGTGCTTCCAGTGAATATTGCGCAAGGTCATTAGGACTGAAACAGTTAACAGTCCCGTGTGCTTAGGATTAATCAAATGAAGAAATTCTGAGGTTTCTTTAGCTTTTTGTTTAAGAAAGAGTACACAGAATGGTACACAATATCATTCTATTTCTGATAAAAAATGTCATGTCAGATTTTGTAAAACTTTTGAAAATATATTATATTTTTTATTGAAATATAAATAGTAATACTCTATTTATTAAAATAAAGTGATTTTCGTAATTGTCAAGAAAGCATACATCAAGGCTGATAACTTGCCACGAATGATGTATTTTATAAACTCACTAGAAAAAACAACTTAAAAATGTTTTGAAAGTCTTCCCACACGTTTTTTTTTGCGAATCACTTGAAAAACATTTTCGCATAATGTTTATTTTTCTTGAAGAAGTGTCATTAAATGAATTATATGAACATTTATTAATTATCCTTCCATTGGTTTTGCTTTTATGTTCCCAAAATTTGTGTTAATTTAATGACAATGTCTGCATCAAAATTTATAGAGGAACATGAGCTCTGAAGAAGTACATACAATACTAAGAAATAGGTTATTTAAAAAGAAAGGACTTCACTGACAGCTGACACCTGCCGATCGACGACAGAAGCACCAATATTTATTGAATCTGTTATTTAAAATCTACTACAGGTGGAGAAATGACACAAGGAAGTGACAAAATAATTCAGTTACATATAAGTCACCTTTTCCAACTTCAGTCAGTAACATGAGGAATAGTCTTTTTTTTTTTTGCTTCTTCCTGGTTGTTGAGCATTTTACGGTTGTATACCGACAACCTGCAAACTAAAGTGGGGGCCAATGTGACCAGTCTGATAAATAATTAATGACATTAGTCCGTGGAGTAGGCTCACAAATCAGTGTATGTTAAAGCTATTTTATCTATTTTTTATGTTATTATATTTTTCATAAATCGTGTATTTTGGACATTTTACAACATGACAATTAAATTGGCCAGTGTCCACAAGAGTTTCGTTTTCTGCTTTACTTTTCACAAAAAATACCCACAGAACCGATGGTGACAAATGTCTAGTTCACTGAGGAAGATGGGAACCAAAACTGTGTAGAAGATTATCAAGACAGCGTGTCAAAGGTCATAACCGGGGTGTCGAGGCTTGTGTTGGAGTTTTATGAAAGGACAGCAGGCTATCAGATACACGTTCAAGTTAAGACCGAAGACCGACAACACCTCATAGCTACAACAGATCATCAGCACTGCCACAGATCTTTCTACCGAGACAAACATACCGAGTCCACCTGCAGGATGTAACACGGTTATCTGCCTATAACATCCGCTACACAACGTTGCACAAACTGCACTAACATCAATACCAAGATGGGTTGAACACATACGCCGACACCAACAGACGTCACACCATGGTGCATGGCTGCGGGCTTCTCTCCTAATTAATTAAGGAAATATAAAAATGTAGCAAAAAATTATACAATTAAAAAATATATATGATATTTCGACAGCTTAGTAATTAGTGGTTAGCTATGAAATTACATATCTAATTTTTTAACGTAAGACAAAGGACAAAAATAGTTTCACTAACTGTTTGAAAATTACATTACCCAGTATATATTGTCAGTAATCAGGGGTCCACCGGCGAGACAACGGTAAGTTTACAAACTTAAAAGGCTAACAACCGGGGCTCGATTCTTCGCGGTGGATACAGCAGATAGCCAAATGTGGCTTTGTTTTAAAACAAACAAACAGTAATCAGGGTAAAAAATAAATAATTATTATACTCCATGAGTAGGAAGACATAATAATTCCAAGAAGTACTGTATATAAATTTGTTTTTTATTAAGTACAAATCTATAAAATGGGCTATCTGTGCTTTTTTCCACCGTGAGAATCGAAATCCCTTTTTTAGCGTTATAATTTTCAGACTTACCGGTGTCGCCACTGTAGAAATGAAATGCAATTATTATACTTCATAGAAAAACCTACAGTTTGTTTCAAGGCAAACAGTTGAGCAAAATTTAAAAAAGAAGAAAAAAGATCCCCTTGCGAGTGCTTTTTATCCTAGTTATTAAAGATATCATAGACCTCTTCTTGTAACATAACGTATACTACGATAATTTGTTCACATAGTCTGTAGCTAGGGCGGTTAAAGAGGTTTGAGATATTGAATCATATACCCAGTCAACTCATTTTTTTGAAATTTCAAAATACATAAGATGTGTAATAAAAAACAAAATTTAATAATTTTATTTAATAAAGCGGGTGTCAAGGTATGATGACGTGAGACTGAAGGCTGTAAAAAAATTCAATAATGACTTACGGATATTAGTATCTTTAGTTTTTGAAATGCAAACAAATTTGACTTATATAACAAATATTTAGGAAGAAAAAACAACCCAAGGAGAATTTGAGAAACTATGCTGTTGACACTCAGCTGACTTCTGAGTTGCTTACCTTGTATGCTCGAGGACTGTTTAAATGTCATTAAAATAAACTGCATTACATAAGATTGCGTGTAATCTAAAAATGAGCTTCGTTCACTTTGCTCCATTCAAACACTGAGGTGTCCTTCTAAGTTAAATTAACTATAATGTTTGATCAAATAAATCTTAAAACATTCAAGACTTACATATAAGTGCATTCAGAATGCAGTCCATTCATTGGTCAACTTCGAGAAAGGGTATACAAGTACAGAGCGAGCTTAATAAAACTATAAGGAACATACGTTGAATCACGTCTAGAATGTCTTTCAATCGTATTATTAATTCTAGTTCTGAAGCTATTATTCATTTTTATTATACTTTGACCTTCGACCTTTCGTAGGAAAGTATAATTGATTAGTGTTCAGAATGCACGCAACCTTTACTCTGATGAAGATTCAGTTGGATCCACAGTTTACGAAAGGATTTCAACACAAACTAGTTGAACGTAATATGTTCATCGATGTTAATGAAATATAAATTATTTTATAATTTGTAGTCTCTTACTTGGCTTTAGCATTGAAATGTACATTTTTTTGAATAATCGTATATATTATAGGTATGTTTCGTTTTACACTTTTGACAAGGTACTCTTTTATGTTACAAAACCTTTGATAGAAAACTTAAGTAATTCATTATAAAGGACACGTGAAACACTTTTGTCATTTCATATACATCAGAGATAAAAATTACACGCCAACCCGTTTAAGCGTGGGAAAAATCGAATTTCGTCACAAGTCTACTGGAAATGGATCATGCCAGTGGATTTAATATATGTCGGAGTAGTTTGTACGAGCGACACGTATGCTGAAAAAGTTACGTTTCAATTATGCACGTGGAGGTGTAAAATAACTCAATAATGTTGTTACAGTGACCAAACAAGTTATTATATATTACATCAATCTTGTATGTCTGTGTGTACAATACTAGGTTGGTATGCTTGCATTACACAACATAGATCATAGAACAACTTATTCAAGCATAAAATAGAATAGTTTTACTGGAATATCTGAAGGTTTGAGTTATAATTCATAACGCAAGCTCTTTTAGAATTTCACAAGAAACGAATCCCATTCTCATATACAGGGTTAGAAGAGAGTTATGTATTATGTAGTAAAACAATTCAACTAATACTTAATATGTCTAAAGAATCCTAAAAAATACTAATCAGTCCTAATTTAGTGGATCAAATTTTTCAAATCTAGGAAAATAAGTATTAATAATTGTACGATTTTTTTTGTGCTAAGATAACGCAACATCCATTTTAATATTAGTACGTAAAGTAAAACTAATTCAGTAGAACTTCCTTGACGTGGATAATTTTTCAAAAACTTCCTTGCATCTGGACCAAACTTTACAGGAGTTTCGTCGGGGTTTGAATTTCGTGCAAAGTTACACGAAGGCAATCTGCGCTAGCCGTCTCTAATTTAGCAGTGAAAGACTAGAGGGTGGGGGTTTGAACCCGCGAACCGCAGATTGTGAGTCGAGTGCACTAACCACCGAGTCGCTTTACAGGGACAGACAAATAAAACTAGGATACCAGCTGTAATGTGAGAAAAACAAACTGAATCCTAATAACGGAAGATATCTGAAGCAATAAGATCCACACAATTGATGAGGATAAACAATTTTTTCAGATTTAACGTATATTCAGAAATTAAAATATATTGTACCTAAAAAACAGTATTGAAAAAACAATAGGGGGAAAAAATTCGGGATCAGACACAATAATCAAGCCTACCACGTCTAAAATCTACTGTCTCCATCCAGCTGTGGTAGGAAGGAAAGAAAATTCAGATGATAAGTTAATGAAAACCTAAGAAGAAACAGATCACTTGTGGTTATAAATAAAAGTTATCTCCTTTGTTGAACTAGCGAAGCAGTGAATCACCTTTCTATTAAAGATTATTTATTAAATATTCAGAATGCTTGTATGAATTAATATATGTAATAAAAAAGTGGTTCAACCGTATTCGTAAAAACATCTTTGACTATTGTGCTCAAGCAAGTTAATAAATTATATGTAACAGTGAACTAGTCCCATGGAATTAACTAGCATTTTGTTCATGCGATTATAATTTCAACGTAACGAGAAAGAAAGCGGGACATCATTATGAAGTTGGTATTTTAATCGTAATTCCTTTTTTTTTCAAGTTCAGTTACACGGGTAATGATTTTAGTTTAGGTAATACGACGTTTAATTAGACTAGCATATTAGAATCTGTGTGGCTCAAACAAAATAAATGGTGTTACCTCGAAAATAATTACACTTTTTCTTATCTCGAATTTGAAATTAACATACTGCAGGTCAATCATGACTAAACTAATGAAATCCTTAGAAAACAGAGTAGTGTGTTTCTGTAACTAATGGTAAGCTTATACTCTCTCTTTTTTGCCTTCATGGCCATAGTGGGTACATTTATTCAATACGGAAGAGAAAACCATGTTCCATTATATTAAATATATGAACAAAGAGAGTTCTTTTATGATAGAACTTAAAGTTCATGTAGCCATGCAAATCATTTTCCAACTTTAACTTGAAATATATCAGTGTGTGTGTATATATTCGATACAAGTAATTCATTTATATAAAGGTTTTCTTCTCTTTTAATTTACTTTTCGCTAAAGTTTTCTCCAGTCATTATCATTACTCATTTGCTGAAATTGTATTTGGTGTCTAATGATTTGTATGACAGCCGTGCACATCTGGAGTTAGAAATTAAAATAAAGTAACATATATATACACACACACACACATATATATATATATATGTAGTTAATACACAGACAACCTCAAAATATTACATCGATATTACTCCTTCAAATACATTTAAAGATACTCTATTATTACCGAACGGAAGCAGTACATCTATATAATATAAATGATGCTACAAACTGGATAGTTAGTGAAATCTACTGATAGCAGTTTGATTAGCATTCATAAACCTTTTAAAACGTACAACAAACACCACAATTCAAGTAAAAAATACTTGATATCACAAGATACCCCTACTATAGAGGTTGATTATGTTATATTAAAACGATTTTGGAGCCTCACCATGTCATTAAAATCCGTGTAGCCACCCGATTGGAGAGTGGTTTCTATTGAAGAAAGATTCCATCGTAAGGTTCTCATATCCAAACTACACCACCCCTCCCCGCTTGCTGTTCATAATCTATCTAATGTATGAGGGCGAAATATTTTAACAGTTCTATCGCATAGAAATTCATAGACACTTCATCTGACGATTTGACCAGTAAGTCTTCATATGAAATAACATGAATACCCGCTTTAAGCTCTAGCTGCGTGAGGTATGCGATGGTTGAGCAGATATGAAGTGGAAACAATTTTTTAATACGTGAACTTGTGTCGCTTTTCCAGAAAAAAGATCCTTCTTGATTATGTTGTTTACTGTTACCTGGGGCACACGAACAGCTTTTGCCACTGACCTTTGTGTTACAAAACGCCACACTTTGCTTACCACGCCTGGGGTTCGACTTATTGCAGGTTTCTTTCTTGATGGTCCTGGGTCCCTTAAATGATTCATATTTCTTTGTTTTCCAATGCCATTAAGAAGTTATAAATCACCTACCTGAACAAGCTTTATGACTTGAGTGTATGAATATTTTGGGTCAGAAAGGACTGTTACATAGCCTTCCCAAAAGAGAGAAATGTTCGATAGCACCTCACTATCTATAAAACGCCAAACAATGACAAACTGTAGCTCTGATACATTTTGTTCTACCACGATTGTGGTTGTCATTTGGTTCTTTGATATTATGTATTGAAAATTATTTTATTATAACGTTCTCAACTCTGAGTATTTTTGTAACCAGTTCATATATACATTAATGTCTGCCTGAAATATTTGAAGAACATAATAGTTGGTTTCATATGCTCACTGCCTTTATTCAAGAAACTACGAGCTTAACGGAAAGTGTACATATGTGT